CCCGTCATACCGAAGCCGCGAATTTATGCTCGTTACGTATCGCGGCACGCGTACCAAACTCACAAGGTGTAAAATAAAGAAAGCATAAAACAATGAGAAACACGTAGGTAAAGCCGAGCGGCACGCGTGCTTATATGAAAAAAAAAAGTTATAAACATACGCAAACTATACCATACGTTGTCTACTATTGTCATGCGCACTACACTATATCTACGTATACAAGCAGACATTTACCATTGTCACAGTACATTATTTATCGGTATTCATCAATGTATCAATTTTCGTCAATTAAATGCATCATCGATAAATCTAAAACTTGCTTTGGATCTACGTTGCAAGTTATTGATCCACATATGCGTATATATATTACAACGAAGTATCGCGACCGTGATTCATCATCAATGGTGCCGGTGATCTTTTTTTCTCGATAGCCAATCCTTCCCACGAGTTAGCCAAAGATAATCGTGTGTGTAAATCGCATATGGTCATAGCACATACGTCCGCGTATGGAGTACCCGCGTATAAGTACATACACGTTACTCGATGGGTTTGACATGTTCACTCTAAATATCTTGCCTCTCTATTAAGGAAATATACACGCATGCCATGTCGCGTATGGCATATGTCTATATATCCATATAGAATGCCGAGTCGTATACGGGGGTCCAGTTCAGTCTGAAGTTGCCGTAGAAGGACTGGCGAACGGGCGGTCCGGTTCGACCAGTGCTATAGCGACTGGATCTTTCTCTTCGTTCGTCTTTGTCTTTCTTCCTGCCGTATATCTCTTCCTCTCTTGTCTCCGTCCCCATGGCATAACGCGGAGAATCCCGCACTGGCTTTACCGCAGGAATAACACACGCTACCCACAACCCCCTCCGACAATCACTTTGCGTTCGCCAATCGGGACCGTCGTGCGTTTACATACTGACTTATATATAAATAGAATACATATACAGACGGAATAACGTTATTCAAACTCCTGCGAAACGCATCGCACACGCATGCGAAATTACGTCCGCTTCACGTGCATAGATGCAATAACGTCGTAGGTCCATGCCAACTTCTTGCGTAGGCCCGTTAAACGTGTGAGTGTCACGGTGACCGGTTTCGCCTGCGAGAGATGCTGCGGATTCTGCACAGTACCATTTCTCATCTGGTACCGATCGGACGAGCGGATTATGGTGATTGAGTATTAGGTTATGGTGATTGTCAATCGGTGTTACCCGTTAGGATTTGGAAATCAATTTTGAGGACTCGGTCGGACCTCGGGTTCGTGTGGTGTTTTCAATTTTTTTTCTACGGTGGTGCCATCTCTCTATCATCGTTTTACACATTACACGTTGATTGGTATGTGCATATAGAACGTGGTATAGAACGTGGGCGTGATAACTGACCAAGAGGGTCCGATCGCTATCGGCTCTATGGGGGTCGTTATAAATACGTCTAACCGGTAGATGCCGTTTTTACCGACGCCTCCACGCTCCTGGGGCCGTCGTACCTAATCCGGTGCTATCTGCGGACGAGGAGACAGAGAGAGAGGAGAATGAAGAAAATGCTATCGGACGAAGAGGCGGAAGAGGGGAAAAAGGAGAGTAAAGATGCAAATGCAATTCTCGATGGAGGCACGCCTCTGTTTTTCTCTTTTTTTTTTCTCCTCTTTTCGTTCTCTCTTTCTCTCTCACTTATGTCATTACTCAAATGAAATCCGCCATGGCCACCTCCCCTCGCTTCCCCATGGCGTCTCATGAATCTCTATAAGCTTGTCAAACTGGTAATTCATACGTCCTTTCGTATCCTTGCCGTACTCTTGCGTGTTCTTTATGTATCATACAGCTATGCGTGTGTGTGTATATATATATATATATATACATCGTCATTTTCATATAGCATCAAAAGTACAGCGGGATGCTGTCGAGTCGATGAGCAATGAAAGATCGATAGGTTCGCGTGAAGTTATCGTAGAGAAAGTGAAGAAAAGCCTACAGTCAGGCGCGCCGGTATGACGTCGTGACGCGGGAATTTAATTAGCATATCTACCGTGACAGGTAACACCGGTTACCTGGCGCCCAGCAACGGAGAATGTCAGTAAAGGCACAAAGGGAACCCCGTATAGTCACACGGAATTATTACACGTGCTTGGTGCATTACATTATACGCCGTTGAGCCCCATTAGAAATTGGCCACCCGGTAGATGTCGATAAACCAGAGGGGTCCTCACTGGGTACCTAATTGATTCGGACCACTTTTCGCCGGTGGGTAGTACCGTCAAGGCTGTACCAAGGACTGGCCTGCGGGGTAAGTCATCTACGAGGGGGCTATCATTTGCGTCAATAAATTCCAACGTGGTCCATGCCCACTTTTATTCCTCTGTATGCTGCATCTGGTTGCAGCTGCGGGGCGAACGCCGAGTACCGATGAGTATTTTCATACACGTCGTTCGATTATGCGGCTCGTGCAATTGCAAGGGACGTCGAAGAGCAATGGCGCAAATGAGCTCATCATTATACCAGAGCCCGTGAAGGTGCTTCTTCCATCACGCGTACCAACCTCCTGACATTATCCTTGTGGTATATACGTGGTATATATTTCTATCGGGGTTTCTTGAAATGTTTCGGGTGGTCGACTCGAAGTCAACGAATTTCCAAAATCGGACCTCACTACTCGTTACGTGAATACCTGTATTACCAAATTTATCGTACGTAGAGAGCGTCGAAGTTACCTACCGATTTTGTCGTGACGTTTGAATTCCTATATGGATAAATAAGAAAGCAGGGAGTATGTGGTTTCGCGACCACATATGGAAGTGAGCGGTGGTCCATGTGCCAGTCTTGATCGGCGTCGACGAAAACGTGAATGATCGCTGGTCTTGCTAATGAGTATTGCCCGGAGGCGCTGATCTCTGAGAATTTTGTATTTTTTTTGTTTTTTTTTTTTTTTTTTTTTTTTTTTTTTCTTTCTAAATTGCAACCGGCGAACGCGGGAAAATAATCTGTCTCCGCGATCCGTGCTTTTTTTTTTTTTTTTTTTTTTTTTTTTTTTTTTTTTTCTTTCTAAATTGCAACCGGCGAACGCGGGAAAATAATCTGTCTCCGCGATCCGTGCTGGCTGCTTTCCAAAATATTCGTCTGTACAGTTTTGCTACATCCTCTCGTCACTCGGTGTACGATGACTGTGTCGCGGGTAAAATTAGTTGTCATTGACATAGGCCGGTATGCTTGGGCGTTGTGTAATTAGGGTGTTTAAATAAAAATGATTTACGATCAGCTAGATACCGTTGTTCGAGATAAGGGAGAATAAAAATTTGCATTTAATTCAGACCAGATTCTACGCGGAGTCCCGCGATACTTCGTCAAGGTAGTCTGGTGCTTGTGAATCGTCCTGTACACTTGGTTCTAGTATATTATACTAGTGTACTATACTAGCTTGTATACCGGGTGGTTTATATATATCCTTCGGGCGATGAGCCTCGCAACGGGCAGGATTCCGAAGGATCCAGTTCCTCGAATAAAAGGATACGAGGGTCGGGAACGTGAGTCATTGCCACATAAAGATCCTTCGGGCTAATACGAGTCTGTATGATGGACGATTTCTTTTATTGACTGTTGATAATTAATCGATATTATCTTTTGGAACTTCGTTCACCCTTTCCTTTTTTTTTCTCCACGAAAAAAAAAACCATAATTCATGATATACGTGTTCCTGGTGGTCATTGTCAATATTAACGTCCGCCTGTATATTCGTTTTAGACGTACACATGGGAGTATCGGTCTTCCAGGAATTCGAAGGTAGAGAAAAGAAAGTAATATGTAAATATACCTGAAACTAGGTAAAAATCGAGAGCGAGAGAGAGACAGAGCGTTCGTTTCAAAGTCTACTGTGGGACAGTGCAAATATTTGATACTTATTTCTGCAAACTAATCGCGAACCTTACGTAGGCAACCACTCGGGTCCAATGGCGGACGAGTGATGCTGGGAGAGAGGAACGCATTTTACAGCCACTTAAAGAAGACAGCTTCTGACCTAACCTCACTCTCCTTTTTCATTCTTCGTATTACCACTCTCTCGCTCTCTCCTTCTTCATCTCGTTCGTTCTCTGTAACGCCACGTGACTCCTCCTTACCTCCCTATCTTCCTTCTACCTCCTCCTGCTTCACCAAGACGGCTTCTCTTTACGAGCGTCATTTTCGCGTTCTTAATACCCCGGGAGAACGTTACACTGACACAGTAGCAAAAACTCACTGCAGATGCTCAGCTACTCCTGAGAGCACTTGAGCGTCTGGACAGAGTAGATCTATCAGTAAGGAGGAAGAAATAAGAAAAGTAGACGTAGCCAATCGAGAGCAACGCCCACGAGTGGTACGATGCACTGGAAGCAAGAAAGTCAGGATTATCAAGCAAGACGGCTCGTGTGGACGAAGCTTAAAGATGGGAGATTCCCTTGGATTTCAAGTTGAGCTACGATAATTCACCCAAAGGAATTCTCCGATACGTTCGTTAAGATTTTGGATTGATTTGTTTTTTAAATCTACCGTGGTCGTTCATTAGCAATTACGTGGATGGCCGTGAGCTGCTTTTGTAGGCAGTGAAAAAAAATTTAAAGCTCCATGTTAAAAAGCTTCCGATACGAACACGGTGCCCCTAACGGTATATAGGATATAACCTACCGCAAGGCGTGCGCAATGCAAGCGTGCGATTAGGCAACCGTGACATAACGCGGATTAACGCTAAATTGGTCAATCGTCTCGCTGAAAATGGCTTGGGCGACTTTAATTCCCCGCCATTTTATTCCCACTTCGTTCTTCAGGAATGACCCAACTTCCTCGTCCGATATGATGAGATCAGTTAGACACGAGCGCTCGAGCGGTATGGTTGTCTTAGTTGCCGGTGCGTGTGATAGAAATTGTGGAAATTTTAATTTTAATTAGTTAATTGTTCATAATGCGTTTTGTGCTTTTTGCGGATAAGAGGAATTAATTTATTAATTAATCCCATTGTTTCAGAAGGTCGTGAGACTCCACTCTCACCGCCGCCGCCATCAAGCTCTTCGCTCCAGACGTCCCCACGTGGCTTGGGGTACACCTGCGGTCCTATAGATGGCTCCCTATACGCAGTGGTGCATCAGGGTGCTGGTGGAGGTGCTCGGGGCTCACCACTGACAGTTTCCATGGACAGTGGCATAAGCAGTGCGCCACCGCAGCGTCCAAGTCCACCGGAGCCAGAACCGGAAACTCAGGCCCACGGTGATCTCGACAAGCTTCTTTATGACATGATGCTGACCGTAGAGGTGAGACCCGAATCAGTCCCGGTCAAACGGCGCTCGTCAAAGTCCGAATAAATCGTTACGCCTATTACTGATTGTAATCCGTGACGGTGAAATCGCTCGATGAATGATCATAATTCGTTTCCGCCCACTGTCATTAAACCTTATTCCGTTTCGTTGAATTTTATTTCAGTCCATGCCCGATCCACCGGCCGACGACTACAGAGCCGAGAAGAGCGAGAAGATGTACATACAGGAGTCCTCGAGGTCCTATGGGAATTCAGTTGGCAACACTGGAACGCATCCTTCGAATTACCTGAAGGACTCGTACAGGAGTTACAGTCAGAAGGAAGCCAGTCCCCCTTACAGTTCAGCGAGCAATTACAGCACCTTGAAGAACGACTACAGCAGGGATCCATTGACCATCAGGAAGGAGACCGTCGAGAGGCGCGAGGAGATCAGAACTTTCGACGTCAACTTCCGGAAGTCACCCGACAGGAAAATCGAAACGGAGTCTTACAGGAAGAACGTCGACTCCTTCTCGCCGCCATTGAACATCGATTACATCGACGAGGACATACCTTATCACGCGAGACAGACCAGTCAGCCCTTCACATACGGTGCTACGTCTGATATGATCAAGCATCAAAAACTCTCATCGCCCTCGTTAGTTAGGAAAGCTTCTGTGAGGGGCGCAGCACCTGTCGTCGACCTCGACGACATCCTCGGGGAGTCCACCAGGAGACCCACCAGTCCTCTGAGTCCCAACACGCCAGATCCGCCACCGGAATTTGCAAATGGTCCTGCGAAGAATAACGGGGAACACGCGGACGGGTGAGTTCTAGCGATGAGGCTTTAACGATCCGTCATTAAGAATGATCATTAATAGGGATTTTTTTAAATTCAATTACATGTGCCTTCCGTGAAGAATGACTAAAAAAAATGTTTATTAATATGTCGGTTACGGTCACAGATAATTATATCGCGAATGGGCTATATGGCGATTTCATGTAATTTTGCAATATACTACGAATAGGGTACCGCAAAGGGATCGCGTGTGTGTAAATATGTGATATGTACACGACACTGGGAGGAAGGGAAATGATTAATACGTAATTGGTTACGTACGTTGCGTATATCTATCTATGTGTAAGGTGCGTCTTGTACTCTTGTCTTCTTGTAACATTATTATATCCGAAAATGGTAAATGCGGTCGTCGTGAGTCACGTTGGCTGTAGAGGCGAACCAGACGCGTTCACTGGTGACGCCGCGACGCTGCTCCGCGTCGTGCGCCGCTGTCCGTATTCCTTCTCATTGTTTGGACGTTGTCCCGTAAGATTTATAGGGAAAGCTCGATACTTGTTTCAGATTATATTTAAACTCTGCGGTAGCGTTAAAACAAACGGGAACAAGAGGGTCTCAGTGTATCCACTATTTCTCAGATTTCATCTCGCGATTGCTGCTTGTTGCTGGAAACTCAACAGCTTGCAGATGAAAGACAGCGAGTTGTACGCAGCAATCGGAGCTTGTCGATCTCGATCGATGAAGCGAATCGGCTGCCGTATTGGCGATTCAATAAACAGTACGACGTCTGATGACGTAAGACGTCACTCAGTTTTCTACGGAAAGGAGAATATTAAAATTGTTAAAGAAGTCAATGCTTTGTTACCGATACAATGTTTTTTTTTTTTATTGGGATAATTTTTGGAAAATTTTACGTAACATTTTCTGCGTTACTCGCGATCCCAACGAAATTTATTGTACGATTCGGGTCTCTTCGGTTAATTCTCGAAGTGGCAGGTTTTTATGATAGTGACGGAAAAAGGGTGAGAAAAAAAATATGTGAGAAACAGGGAGTGCGAGAAAGCTAGTGGCGGTAACCTCGACTATTTTGAGATCGCAGCCGCCCTCTGACATAATTTTAAATATAGCAACGACTCGGGCGGTACTATACGCTGCCCGTCGCGGAGCACGAATTCCCTTAAGACTGTCAGGTCTAAGGCTGCTGCTTTTATCCTGGCGTCTCCTGACCGAATTAGAAAAAGGCCTAATGCCCAGTAGATGACGATGGAGTACGCGGGACCAAGAATTCTGAGCCAACGTACATAGTGACAATTTTGACAGCGTCAGGAATGAAAAATAGAGACACTTCAGACGTCGTATTGGATATCGCGTTACTGATGCTGGAGTTGCGACGCAGTTAAGCATCTCCGTGGATGGATGCATCCACTTGGTATAATCGGCTGTTTGGTTACAGCGATGACCCAACCGACCCACGTCACCATCCAGAGAGTTTTTAATAAATTTACATCTAAAGAGGATGCGGTTATTCGTGAATTAGCCATCTTTAATCTCGTTTGCGTTGTGAATTATGTAATTGCAGTTAACGATAAGATGATAAGCTGGCGCGATGACGTGGAAGCATCTTGTTTCACTGATTCCAACGTTATCTTGACGCGTTCACTTATATTTAGCTTGCCTGCTTGTTTACTCCTGTTTGTATGATTCCAAATCTAAAGATAGAATGTAACTTGGGATGCTGAATGAAGTGACCCGTGATCTGACCCGATAGGTACGAATCGATGACCCTTGACGATCCCATCAATCAGTATGTAATTATGCGCGTCTACATTATTCCACGCATTACTTTCGTGACGACCTGGTTACCGCCTTAACGATCCTTTGTTACTGAGATGGACGCAAAGAAAAGTTTCGTTCCTGTCGATCAGTTAGATTGTCGGTAAAGAATTTCGGAGCGTCGGTATCCCGTCGATAGTTACCTATGCAGTACGTCAGAAGTTAATTTACGTAATGTACATGTATAGTATGCTCTCCGTTGGGGGTAATTGAATTTTTTTTTTTTAAACTTAAATCTAGTCTTCCACGGATCATTAAACTAGGCCCTGTGATTCTTACAGCTTGTCTTGGCTGCGGCAACAGCAGCTCAAGTTGGCAGCCCGCAGAGACGAAAGGAGTCCGGGTAAACAATGGCGCCAGGAATCCGGGAACCGCGTAATTGGCGAACTTAGAAGTCTTCAACGTGGACGTCTACGGCATGACGGGTACGCTAGCGACTCGGCTGTCTTGGACGATGACGATGACACCTGGACACCAAGTTCCATTACGGCTCAGGTAATAGCGATGAGCTTTAAGTTAGCTTTTTAGTCGGGACTTTTTGTTGGGAATTATTAAAATTCGCTTTTTATTTTCAGACAACAAGAGCGGCACCGTATACGTCTGCGCCGGCCAGTCCGTTGCTGCCGCAAAGATCCAGCAGCCGTAAGTACAATGGTGCCGGAAGTGGACCTTTGACTGGAAGACCACGTGCAGAGTCCGTGAACGAACGACCCTTCGTGTCGGTAAAACGTGGCTACGAGTTCCGGAAGTACAGCGACAGCCAGGTAAGCAGTTTTGCTTGACAATGTAACGAGTTTCCAATTCGCCATTGTTGTTTCTTAGAGTTAGAGATTTTTGAGATGGAGAAAGAGAGAGAGAGAGAGAGAGAGAGAGAGAGAGAGAGGGGAGGAATTAAAACTAATGTGAATTGGTCGCAGCTTGAAATAGTAATTAATAGTATACAAAGCATGTTGGCTGAGAAGAAGCGCTTGGCTCGAATTCCAGAGCCCCCCATCATCCCCACGCTCGGCATTAGCAGCAGCACCCTTAGGATTAGCCCTGCAGCAAACGTTGAACCGGCATGAGAAGCAACAGCAACATCAGCAGCAACAACCGCCAAGACCAGAGTCGCGCAGCGACAGCTTCGCACGTGCTGAATCGATTCTTCGCGAGCATAGAAATGGCATGAGCAGCAGCAGCAGCAGCCACAACCACAGCAACAACCTGAATGGCAACCACCTAGCAACGCTCCCACAATATTCCCAAGAGTCATCCAACGCCATTAGCAACACTGTTAGCAGCAACAGCACCATTCCTCAGTGTTCACCACCCGCTCGACCAGAGTCCCGAACTCGCAATACTTTCCAGAATTACTCCGCGAAGGTCACTGAGACCAAGGACGTGGTTGACGCGGGATTACTCGCAGTTGTCGATCAGGACTCCTCATCGACCAGACAGAATCCGGCTGATCCTCTCGTGAGCCTCATTCAGTCTTTGGCCGAAATTTCGCCCATACGCTCTTCATCCACTAACAAGAGCGACAACCACCTTCACATCACCTCCAATGCAACCACAAACAACACCAACATCGCAACCACTAACAGTTCCCCTAATCAGTCACCAAAAGCATGGCAGAGCAGCCAGGTTTGTCGCCTTGCTTCGCTATCCCTTACCCCCTCTTGGCCTTGACATGAAAATCTGGCATTTAAATAGAAGTTTTAGTTTTTTTTTCTTTCTGTTTAAATAACGATTTGTTTTACAACTTTGAGTTACGCATCCCGGAGCCTTGCACTGCTTTGCATTTTTTTTATCATAACGATTTCATATTGTTTTTATCATTTCTTCTTTAATATCACGACTTGAAATAATTGCTTTTCGATTGTCCCATTATCGTGAGTCGGATGACTCTTTCATTGTGAATGATAACACGAATTGTAAAGATGATTATGCTATTGAAAATTTGATTGCGCCGATGGTATGGGGTTTTTGGGTTTGCAATTTTATTGATTTTTACAGTCCCATAATGATTCGGTGTCATCGTGGAATGAGAGGAGCGTCAGTCCCAGCAGTGCGGGAGTCGGAAATGCATCCAGACCTCAAACTCCTGCGTTTCCGGTTCATCCAAGAACGCCGTACGTAAACAACTCCTCGCCAACTGTTACCTTCGCTGCTGATCGTACCTACGCTACCTCGAACAATATCAATAACATGGGAAATTACGGTACGAACAACAACAATGACAATAACGCCGGAAATACCAATGGCAACATTGTCAGTAACGGAAACTATGGCGGCGAGAGAACAATCTACATAGATGAGCGTAGAGAAATTTTAAGAGAGACGGGGTTGCCACCCAAGAGTCCGACAACACAGCGGTAAGTTGAAAATGAAATTTTAGATTTTCATCTTTCTATTTTTTTTTTTTTTTTTGTAACCATTATCCTCCCGATTTTCTACTCGTTTACCTGCGACTACGTTCCGATATCTCGAAGTTGCGGTATTCCTCATTAAAGAAGCAAGACTGCAATTATTTTTGAGATGGTTTTTTCTTTTAAATTCAAGAAAAAAATATATTCAATGAGATTTTCATCACGATGATAGGTGACGATTATCTTCGTGATTCTAGACGCTTGAGTTTCCCAGCAAGCGGGCAGCTTAAACAAACCCATAACAAACGATGGCCGCTCACTAACCAATCGGCGTCGTTCGACTATAGGTAATATATGCATAAAAATGATAACGTGTGGCCGTATCGTAATTAATCGATACCAATCAATTCTCGACTGTATCTACGATGCACCATAAACGTTGTATGTCATTATTACTAACAGCATATGTGTGCACTGATTGAAAAAAAAAATTTGGATCGAAAAAATCCTCTACTCGACACAGTAAGAGCGACGACAAAAACAAAAGGACAAGAATGGACGACAATCAAGATTTCCATGCTGGAATTCGATTAAAACTAAAAGAATGAAATCACCGTGTGTTTTTTCTGCTCTGTACTGTTTGCTTATATCCAACTAACAAAAGCTTTTGCATCTTCGTTAATCGAACGAATACGAACGAAACTACCATTGCAGGGAATGCATCGACGGAAACTCCTTTTTAAATTTTGGTACTGATTATTTCTTCTTTTTTTTTTTCCTTTTTTCATATATACCGTATCTCTCGTATCATCTTCGCCATGTATTTTCTTACTATCGCAAATGCATATATCTGTTTTTCAAAGATGTCAAAATAAAAAAAAAATGTCGCACAATCTATTGCACGAGCATCCACTCAATATATTTTTTATGCACAGTTTTTGAACACGCGTGTCTCACTTGACGACCATGTTGAAAATTATTTTTAATCGTGTCTTTCCTTTTTGTCCTTACAGCAAGGACCGACCCGTCTCTCCGATAGGTGAACTCACAGGCTCCCAATCTCAAATAATTGGCCGCAGTCCAGGCACCCCGACGCAAATTGAGTTCGCCCAAAGCCCAAAGGTAAACATGGAGTAGTGATTTGTCATTTCAAGAAAAATAATCAATCCTCGCTATAGTCTGTTTTTAATTTACAGAGCGCAACTTCCTACAGTTCTATCAACAGTGGTGGCCAATCTTCGCCCCAGGTTCAATATTATGGATCACGTAGGTCCAGCGTTCATTCGAATACCGAACCTCAGGAAGTTGCTGACGCAAATGTTAAATTCGTCCGAGACACCAGCAGGATCTGGTACAAGCCGAATATTTCACGAGAACAAGGTAAATAAAAAGAAATTAAAAAATTTAATAATTTTCGAATTCAATACTTTCATTCTGTCATTGCGATCATTCTAATAAATTACAGCCATTGCCATGCTGAAGGATGCAACTCCAGGCACTTTCGTCGTACGCGACAGTAATTCATTTCCGGGTGCCTTTGGATTAGCCTTAAAGGTGGCGACACCACCACCAGGAGCACCCACCAGCCCTAGAGATCCTTCCAGCGAACTGGTCCGCCATTTCTTAATAGAACCGACAACCAGGGGTGTACGACTTAAGGGTTGCGCAAACGAGCCAGTATTCAGCTCACTGTCTGCTTTGGTTTATCAACACAGTCTAATGGCAATGGCGCTGCCTTGCCAGTTATTGCTACCGGAACCTGAAGCTGCTGCCAGAGCACTGGATTCACCAGGTGCCAATAGCACTCAGCAATTACTGGCTCAGGGTGCTGGTACGTAAAAGTCAATTCCTTTATAATGTATTGTTTCTTGACTCTCAATAATTTTTCCTTATCTCTTCCAGCCTGTAATGTGCTTTACTTATTCACAATCGATACCGAATCCCTGACTGGACCTCAGGCTATCAAAAAAGCAATCACTACGTTATTCGAACAGAAACCTTTGCCGACTGCAACGATAGTGCACTTTAAGGTCTCCACCCAAGGCATCACACTGACCGACAATGCACGTAAATTATTCTTCCGCCGTCATTATCCCACGAACAACATTAGCTACTGCGGTTTGGACCCAGACGAACGTACTTGGGACTTTGTCAGTGAAGAAAATAGACAATCACTCAGTGCGCAGTAAGTAACAGTATTTTATGAAAATATATTATTACAGCGGTTAATGTCCTAACTCGGACGTGATGTCCAGTTGAAAGTAAAATAATGACATCCTGTTTTCTCTGGGAACCAGTTCCACGCATGTTGAAACATATATTGTTTGTTGCAGTCGGTGCTTTGGATTCGTCGCAAGAAAACCAGCTCACAAGTCGGACAACCAGTGTCACGTATTCGCCGAGCTCGAACCAGAACAACCAGCTACGGCCATTGTTAATTTCGTAAATAAGGTCATGATGGGAAGTGCACTTGTCAAAGCGAATATCGTATAAAATTTCAAAAAAATGTCAGTACGTCACCCAGTTCGGTCATTCCATTGAGCACTGACTTAGTCAGCGGTTGATCATTCAATGACAGTAGTCAACTGTCATCGAATGTGGGACAACCGTGCGATTTCTCATGGAGAAACGATCGCGAGAACTTAAACCCGTTGCTTAGCCATATTTGGTAGATGACATCATAAATAGCATCAAGATGGCCGTCGCACGAATTTCCTTATAAGGAAGTAATAAGATACTGACGTGGGGAGAAAAGTGAAAATACGAAATCCGAGTAAACGAATTATGCCTTATTCCTCTGGACGCCTAACGGATAATTGCGTGAACTATGCGTTTAATCATTTTGCATAATTTGCTCAATGATAAATCCATAATTCAGATCCGCATGTGTGCCGGCGGTACAGTAACATTGTAGTTAGACATTTGGCGAAGTAACTATAAGCAAAAACGTTATTGTTATCGCTATCACTATCATTATCACTTAACGTAGCTATTATTCTACAAAATAAGGTTCGAGCGAAAAGTTAATATGGGCACTTACGCCCGTGCTCCTTTTGACTTATGAGATAAAGGAAATAAAAATCGCGATGACCTTAGAGTAGCACGCAGGAGAAATAAAATAAGTAACCAGGGTTCGAAAGCCTTAAACGAGCGGACGTCATTAGTATTCTCGAGCCAGCCTATATCAATAGATTTTATTCGAGATATATGATATAAACAGAAATATATATATAGATCCGAGAGAGAAAGAGAAAAAATGTGACGTTATACCTGGGTCTAAAAAAAAGTATAATGAGAAACAGAGAATACTATATCGTTATTATTATTATTATTACTAGTACTATTACTATTATTATTATTATCATTATTATTATCATTAATATTGTCATTATTATTAATCTTATCGTACCTATCGATGTATGAAAGAATGTTCATAACTGTACATAACACTAATTAAGTTCCAATTAACCGGCGAGGCCCAGCAACTACAAAACTGCGTAGACCGAGGAAAAGAATCAAAGAGAGATTGCGAAAGTGAGGTACACGGAGAATAGATAAAAAGAAGAGATATTGAAACGCGTACAGAGGGTTATCGATTGAAGTAAAATATGCAACGAGCTAACCATAGCCAAGCCATGCACGGTCATATTACATAAACCCCATTATGTTCTTGCCATTTTTCGTCGCTCGTTCTCGCAATTACTTTTGTTAATTACCGTTAGTCGCATCACGGCGCCACCGTCCAGGAAATGGCGTAGGACGAACGCTTTTGATATTCGAGCGAATGGTCAATGGCGTTTGTCGGTATGAACCACGAACGCAGTCAATTATTACGAAAAACGAAAATGACAATATTGAGTGACAATGTTTCCTTGAGTTTCTCATTATCTTTCATTTTTTTTTTTTCTTCGCTCCTTCGTGGTCCGTTCTTGGGTCATCCCTCTTCCTTTTGCTGTTGGCAGTTGCAACTACGCACTGTCATATGGTCGATACCTATCTAAAAGACACTCTGTTACGTTCTGTTCTGGCCTTTTCTTTGTCTTCCTCTTCTTGCGTCCTACGTGCCGATTGAATGGCGACGTATGAAGGGACGAAGAAGCGAACGCTGCACGTGCTAGTCAAAATTCATGCTGCTCCGTAACGAGGGTTGGTTATCGAGGAGGGCTATTTGAAATGATAATTTATACGTGTTAAAATACTTATGGCAGTGAATTCATTGCTTACACGGACCGACCATTCTTGCGAATAGTTAGCTAACGCCGATTTGGAATTGTATCTTTCCTGTTTTCTTTTCTTTTTTTTTTCTACGATTAGGGTAATGTAATTTTTATCGGTCGATCATGACTAACACTGTCGTCCTTGTCTTTGTTAATTTAACGTCAGTCACTATTAATAATTTTAAGAACGAAGAAAACGAAAAACCCCTTTACTCCCTACGTTTACGCAATCAGTGTATATCGTTGTATACCGCGCAGGTATTAGAGTTGAAACAATAAACGATATTTACTGCGTAGCCTGCTCCGTCGTTATAAATTTTACATTGATTTTCGATATTTTTATAATCATTTGAAACAAGGTAGAATGTTCGGTTTTAGGGTAAGTATATTATTTTATAGACTAGGTAAACAGGATATCCTAAATGTTGAACAATTAAGTTTCGACCTCTGATCACTACGATATCATAGCCGTACTGTACCCCGAGGGTACTGATAATAGGCAATTACACCCCAAACGCATATACCTACTCCGTTTCGTTGGGGGTACAAATAGAATAGAAAGAGAATAAGAGAAGAAGATAAGACGCGTCCAAGAGTTTGATACAGAAACCCTTGAAAGAATGAGCTCGTCAAGCTCCTGCACCTCCTTACATATTTAGGTAGTATTCGGCCGGGTCCCGGCAAGTGCTGCTCCTTAAAGATTTTTTAAATTCTTCAACTTCTTATACTTTTGTTCTTTCTCTTATATTCGTATTCACATCCATATTTCTATACTGAATGAGGAATCTTCTTACACGCTATATCTCATTTCCTAATAATTACTGTATCTTGTCCTATAATTAGAGCATAACAGTGTTAAGGTGTGAAAGATCAGGAATACTAAAGAAGACAGCTAGACATTATATTTCCAGTTCGGAATGTTGACGTAGTAAAGAGGAAATTGAACAGTTAACGGCAAATCTACTGACCTACTGGGGAACCGACGCATAGGCGTCCCCCCGTCACTCACGAATTCTTATTTATTACTGTTGCTCCTTTTCTCATTCCTTCTTTTCCTCCTTACGTCACTATCCTGCCTATAAATAATATAAACGTATCTACACTATCTTGTATCCAGTAAGTACAATATGCTTTGTTAAAGTGAAAATTTGGCCAATCACGAATACCTTTTTACCTACTTCTCCAAAAGAAATAGTGAAGAAAACAAAGTAACCGATGATACGCATTACATGCAGTATCGATGGTGCTACGTATTTTGGTGAAAAAGAAATAAAATAAAAATAAAACATCGTATTACGGTTACGGTACTTGAGAATTTTCCATAAAAAGGGTAACAGCCAGTTTACTCGCCAAAGGTAAAAATGTACCAGAGGCAATGGCGTCGACTATACAAGCACCGTTATCATTTGCCATTGGCAAACGGAGAAACGATCGCATAGCCATTATTGGTCCTAAAGTAGAGGATTGTATACATGGGCCTTTTCTGGGACTCATACAATAGGATAATACGTTTATATATGTATATATATATATATATATATATATAGACGTTTGTATACCTTAAATAGTGAAAGAGAGAATTTCTGCCGCCAGCGGGCTCATGAAACTGTCATTTTTCTTTGACATCCAACCGGTCGTTCCTGAAGGCCAATAGGATAATACGTTTATATATGTACCATTGGCAAACGGAGAAACGATCGCATAGCCATTATTGGTCCTAAAGTAGAGGATTGTATACATGGGCCTTTTCTGGGACTCATACAATAGGATAATACGTTTATATATGTATATATATATATATATATATATATAGACGTTTGTATACCTTAAATAGTGAAAGAGAGAATTTCTGCCGCCAGCGGGCTCATGAAACTGTCATTTTTCTTTGACATCCAACCGGTCGTTCCTGAAGGCTTGAGAATGTTCAGTCAGTGAGGATCCGGCGAGCCGATCGTATCTTACTATATAATATACAGAGACAGGAAGACCATGGAACACAATTGTTCGATCGTGAAAATCGGTCTGTTGTTTATTGTTTTATCGACAATTGTAATTGAAGGGATAGCCGCACCTGAGAGAACGAGAAACGGCAATTATACCGATCAAAAATCATTATCAGCAGAAGATTTTGGTTGGAGTGGAAGGTTCGTTGATGAAATTTTATTTTATCAATTATATTCCTTATGTACTCCAGTACGATATAAAAGGATTGAAACAGTTCGTGTCCCACGTTTAAGTCAATTTATCCTACGAAAAATTGTAGTGCGACTGTCATTGCTAAATTATATTTTTCCTTTTTTTTCTTACGGAACATTAATTATAATGTTCAAATATATAATTTGAAATACATTTTTATTTGTGTACTGAAGATCAATCGTTGTCGTGCAGTGATGTTTACTATGATAAGATTTATTTTATTAATATATATATATATATATATACATATATATAGGTTCGATCTAGAGGGTCTTTCGCCGTTTTACGAAGATGAAGAAACGTGGACGGAAACTGAGGAAGGATTGTCAAAAGAAGAAAATTTAGAAGACAAAGACAAAGATACATTATCCTATCTTTTTCCAAACATTCGAGCATTCTCGCTATCCGGTTTAATGGAGTCGGTCTATACGATCGTCACTTCCGGTATCAGTACAATCGTCAACAATATAGTAGGAAGCGAATCCAAGAGTGTAAAATCACCTGGTTCAAGGGTCAGCTACAAAGGTCATCAGCTGTTAAGAATAATACCGAGCAACGATAAGCAGGTCCTTGACCTTGAAGAATTAAGGGACAACGAAGTGGAAGATCTTAAGTTTTGGACACAGCCAGCCAAGAACAGGTTTGTACTTATATATACATATATATATATATATATATTTAGTACCTTTAGGATAACTGTAAAAAAGAGAATTAAATTTGCCATTATCATCGATTTCAGAACAACTGACATAGTTGTGTCTCCTGAGATCATTCAGGATATGAAGAACTTCCTGAAGAGTCAAAAGTATGATTTCAAGGTCCTTATCTCGGATCTTCAGGTACTTTAGGAAATAACGATTGATAAGAGAAAAAAAAAAGTTGTAACACTGTATAAACAGTCGAGCAATTATCTTTATCATGGGTCCACAGAAAACTATCAGCTATCAGAATCCAAAACTATCAAAGGAACAGCGCGAGGATTTGGTCAGTACGCAGGGTCATTCGATGACTTGGAAACGGTACCACCGTTACGGAGGTAATGAGTTACGAACACTAAGTCGAAAAAAAAATTATATTTTATCAACCTGTAATTACCGTCTTTTTTCAATGGCTTGCAGACATTCTACGGTATCTAGAGTATCTTGCGTTCAGATATCCCAGTCTAGTAGAGCTCGTTACAATTGGTCATAGTTTTGAAGGTCAACCATTGAAGCTGGCGAAGGTGTCAACTGGACCGACAAAAGATGGAGACACTAAGCCTACTATCTGGATCGATGCTGGTGAGTTATGGTTAATAACTAGAAAGGTGTAATAAATTATGTGGATTTTATATCGATCAATCATATTCTCATATAAGATTATATATATTTATACTGTATAATCTATGCTGATCATTATTTTATCTGTAATAAAGAGTAACGTGAGATGTCTAAAGGTTATAGTTCAATCCTTTTGCGGACTGACTGTATTTTGGCCTACTTGAATCGGGGGCAATCAGAGATTCATGTGGGTCATTAAATGAGAAAATACTGTCACTGTAAATGACTATAAAGAATTGATGATTTTTCGTAATTGTCTAACGGATGATTGATCTTTATTAGGAATGCATGCACGCGAGTGGATTGGATCAGCTGTGGCGACCTATATACTTAGTCAATTGGTAGAAAAGAATTCGACCTATGCAAAATTGCTGGAATCATCCGATTGGATGATCTTGCCAGTAGTCAATCCTGATGGTTATGAGTTTAGCCATACCGGAGACAGACTTTGGAGAAAGACAAGGAGCAACCATGCCGATAATGACGGCGAAGCTAGGTGAGTTGAAAATGAGATTAATTTTTTTAATTAGGAAATTTATTATTGGTAATGTTTAATTATTATCAATATTATTTATCATGTGTTTAGGCACACTCCGGCTGGAATATTTCATCTAGTCTCTCATTACACCAAATGGTTTTTTGCACGGTGCGATGGCGTCGATCCAAATCGAAATTTTGGATATCACTGGGGAGAGGAAAAATCTGGTGCTGCTAGTACCGATCCTTGTCACGAGACTTATGCTGGTCCTCATTCATTTTCCGAACCCGAAACACGTGCTATGGCCGATTATATTTTGGCAAATCGACAGAACATCAAGTGAGTGGACAATTTTGAAAGTAAATTCAAAAAATTTTATACAAATTTTCAAATTAATTACAGAATGTATTTGACGCTACACTCTTACTCCCAAATGTGGTTAGTACCTTGGGGTTATACGAAATCGAGACCTTCCGATTTTTCGGAATTGGCAAACGTTGCAAGAAAAGCTGTTAATGCAATTGCGAAAGTTCACGGCACGCGATATCAAGTCGGCGCGTCGCCTGATCTCCTGTATCCAACTTCAGGTATTTAGAAATATTTGGATTAATCGAATGGGTGATATCGATTTTTGAGAATTTACTTCTTTTTGTCTTTTCAAAATAGGCGGCTCCGACGACTGGGCTAAGGGAGTTGCTGGCATTAAATATTCATATACAGTGGAATTGCGCGATCGTGGGACTTACGGCTTTTTATTACCAGCTACGCAAATCGTACCGACTGCCAGAGAAACGTGGGCTGGGATACGTGCAATTGCACGACTAATCACTTGCAATTCCTAAGATAAATTTTGAAAAATTTGACCAACTGCCAAGGTTTCAATGTATCAGTGGAACTGTGCAGAATTCAGACTTTGAAAATTCTATTCCTTATCGTGACGCGATAACGATCTCGATTTATATACATAGATCGTCCGCGCCATTATAAGGATTCAAGTGAGGATCACAGGTTTTATCGAAATTAATTTAATTCTTGATTTCACATGAAAGAAAACACATCGAGCGATTCCAAATTTTGGAATCGCAATCTATTCTCAGGAGGACTGATCAAAATGGTTTAGGTGCATATATACCTGTAATTTAGAATCGTTAATTTTAAGTATTTATAATAATAATAAATGTGCGTGATACATATTTAAATTTACATTAAATAAATTGTCAATGATGATGAATGATGATTGTCAATGATTCGGTACAATTTTTTTCATGGTACAATTCAAAGACCCATTTAATAATGATAAGCTCACTATCATTATTAAAATATGTACTAGACAATAGACAATAGATTTAGAAAAATTAGATAATTTAACTCCTATCGTAATCAAGTGACCCAAATATTTACATTTTTTCAAGATTTATCAATTACAATTTGGATCTATGACGTTAACATATTATTGATATATATATTTCTAACGTATAATTAATAAAGTATAATTAAAATGACAATAACCATTGTAAATAATCTGTCACTATGAATCTTATCTACAGATAAAAACTGTCAGTATTCATTTGGAAGTCTCTAAATTCAAATTCAATCAACTTTATACAAACATCTATATTTTTCTTTTGCTGTGAAAATATTAAAAATTCACTATGGCATTCGCATTGTTACTTCTTGGTTTGTTCTTATTTATTTTACAAATAACGAGGCAAACCATTGTAACAGAATCATGTATAAATAGCTAGCAAATCAGAAATCATTTCGTTACAAAAGAAACAAACATATGTATATGTAATAGTAAATGAACCCGACACGGGTTTTTACGGTAATTAAAATTTGTATTTATTAATTACCCATCAAGCCTCACTCGCTGCTATAATCAATATCAAAATCTAAGCCAGTTTGATTAATGTTATATCTGCCAATGAATTTCATATCACACTTCATCCCCTTCATGGAAATACACTTATCAGCAATGGATTGGATGCTTTTCCTGGATAATTTCTACATAAGATTTCATTGGTCTAGCGATTTCCACCCTTATTAAGTTTGAATCAATCTTGCGGTGGATAATTATATGATAATAATTGTTTTATGATATAATTATTATATATCGTTATATATTATTATAGGATATAATGTTGTTTTGCGTTATGATTTTCGGTGATGATTATTTATCAGTTTTACGATTATTGAATGTGTCATTAAATGAAATTATTTATTGGCAATTTTTGAGAATTTTTTACCTATATACCCTCGTTTTTCTTGACCTGCGTGTATCTGCTTATCAGATATTGTGTCAGTAGGAATATGACTTTTTATTTAGTAATATAAAATACACATCATGAATTGTTAATTTTTCTAAATAAGAAAAAATATAATTTTATGAAATCTAATTACTATCGCGTTGATCCATTTTGATTTTGAGTGAACGATCCATGATGTCTGGAAAAACGTACGAGAATCCCCTCAATTTTTGTAATTTCAGTGATCAATTTTTTTAATTTGGAAACTGGATTCTCATGTATTTTTAAAATTTAGACAAACGCTGCTACCGATAATATTTTGATGTATTTAAAAGTAAAAATTAATTATTTGATGACTATTTGTAATTATTAAATTTTTACACATTAATCAAAAGACCCAAATGCCAATGACTAGTTCCTTATCTTTATTAGAATGCCGATCAGATCGTGGATAACGATTGACGACAAGCCAGTTATTTTATATACGTTATAATAATCGAGAGACATGATTTAAAAGATTTTTCAAAATTTTATCAAGTCTCAGTATTCATGAATTGCGATGGATCGATATCTCCGTATTTCATCTACAACGACATACTGTTGTCGGCGTAGTACGTAGTATCAGAGTTCCATTACTGAATCATTTAAAAAATCTGTCATCTTACATATCAATGATTACTGTCAGTATTCATTATCGCCTCTAAATCAAAATTCAATCAATGGTATATAAACCCCTCAATTTTCATTTTATTTCACAACGTTTAACATTCGTGATGGCGTTTGCGTCCGTACTCCTCGGTTTGCTGTTGTGCAACGGTAATTAATTTTGTCAATATAATTTTTCCATTAAACGTCTCAAAGACGCCTTTTCGACATTGAGTCTCGTTTTCGTAAAAATCGAATCTCACTCGTTGTTATAATTGCTATTAAAATTTCAGCCAGTTTGGGTAGCATCATCCCCGCGGAGAAGCCTCATGTAGCACTTCATCCGATTTTCGGCAACACACGTATTACCAATGGATTGGATGCTTTTCCTGGACAATTTCCTCATCAGGTTTCCTTGGTCTGGGGATGGCCACCATTTCTTAGTATGAGTCATATGTGCGGTGGCTCCATCTTGAATTCGGAATGGATCCTGACTGCTGCTCATTGCATCACCGGATTGCCAAACTTCGGTACCACTCAAATAATAGCTGGAAAACATGACGTCACGCTCACCGAGAGTACTCAGCAAACTTCAAATATTGCCCTTCGCATCACTCACGAAGACTACGCAGGGTAAAATTTTGGAAACGCTCCACCCTCCAATGGATGAATATTTATTTTACACGAGGATCCCAATGTCTTTTGATTGCAGTAACGTCGCTCCTCACGATATTGGTCTCTTTAAGCTGTCAACACCCTTAGTTCTGAATGAGAGGGTTGTTCCTGTTAGATTACCTGCCCCTGGCGTTCAGCATACTGGGACTGCTGTACTCTCAGGCTGGGGTTCGACTTCTACTACCGGTTCATCGAATATGCCTAATATACTTCAATTCGCCATCATCCCCATTGTTGACAATGAGGCCTGTCACGAGTCCATTGATTCGGTGGTCGCTGCCGACGTTTACGTAGACCCTGGCAATATTTGCACTGGACCAGTCGGCGGAGCCACATCTGCCTGTTCTGTAAGCTCAGAAGAATTGGATATAGGATCGCGATAGAAATTGATTTATTTTTTACATTTTTTGCAAATATTTTTTTAGGGTGATTCCGGTGGTCCACTCGTTCAATACATTGACGGCGAGACTCCTGAGGTCATCGGGATTGTTTCCTGGGGAGTTACACCCTGTGGTGTTACTGGCGCAGCATCCGTGTACGTTCGAGTTTCCCATTACGTTGATTGGATCGAAGACAAGATGGCGAACAATTAAGTTACACTGCTTTGGGGGGTATCACTTTTTTCTGTATACAAATGATTTTAAGGGATGATATTATTAATTCAGTTCTGCAATCAGTTAGCTGTGTTGTTAAATAAAATGAAAGCATCTGAGGTCCATTTACTTTTACCTGTATATACATCTCGGCCTTCTTCGACAACTTAGACACGTGTTCGCTATATTTTTATTGATACGGCACAAATTAATTGCTCTTCTTAAACGACGTTAGTCACGTGGGATAATCATGTATCCCGGTTCTCAATAAATGCAGGTATATTTTTATTTTTATTTTTTTATTATACTTGTAGCGAAGTTCATAATACTTATTGATTGTGTCGTTCAATTTAGTAATGACGTATGTGCTTTAATGCTTTAATGCTTTAGTGGCATACCATGATAGAATGCTGGGATAATTTATTTACTTCAAAGTGACTGGCGAGGGATTAAAAAAAATTATTTTTTGATTGACTATTACCCAATTTTGACGGGTCGATTCAAAGACGCATATTTCAATGATAAGATCCTGCTCGTTGTACAATTTTGTGTTAGATGGTAGATAAAAATTGCCTACAAATTGAAAATCTCTACTTGCTTTATCGCAATCAAGAGATAATCGATACACTCATGAATTGCACTCGATCGATATCGCTGTACTCGACATGCTACGATAAATTACTCTTGGCGCGTATATAATCAGAATGAAATTATCTATGGCTGTTCACCCTATTTAACTATTATTATTATTCGTATAAATCATCGTCTCTAAATGAAAAATTTAATCAAATTTGAAATTTCAAAAAAATTACAAAAGGCACTATGGCGTTCAAGCCCTTGCTCCTCACTTTTTTTTCTGGCGTAATGCTAATTGATATTCCATTTATTAATTACCCATCAAGCCTCACTCGCCGTAATTGTTTTATTTAATTTATATTATAATATCAAAATTTCAATCAATCCGGATGATTCCATACTTGCCAATTAGTTTCGTGCTGCAGTTCATCACTTCTATGGTAAATGCACGTACAGCGGAGTCCGTTTAAAATGACGTGCAAGGGACAGGGCAATGACGTTGTACTAAACTGGTGGCGTAATAAGCAAAATCAAAATGTGTACTGATGTATTTATATTTAAACCAAACTTAAGGGGGCAGGTATGATGCAACATGCGGTCGATCTTTATAAGCGGAGTCGTATTAATCGGACTAAACCGTATTACCAAGGGGTCGGATAGTTTTCCTGGACAAATTCCTCATCGGATTTCGCTGCTCTGTTCCAAGCGCAGCACCCGTAAATTTTAGTAAATTCTTCGCAAGTGCCATATTATATTCAAAATCAGGGGATCTATATCTATACAATTTTTTTTTACTTTTGTTCTGGTACTGGACTCTGGTAAAATGGCGATAAAGAATTTAAAATCATTGAAATCCTTTCTTCGTGTGTTTACCCTCTGACAATACTGAAATATAACCTGTATTTGATCCTATTTCGTTTTTCATTGATTTTATCATTAGCATAAATTATTATGAATCATTAGGTTTTACATTGTCGGGTATATTGATCTGTTTCGCATTGATTTTTAATAATTAATTGATTGTTAGATTGCCAGTTACGTCTTTAAGTAAGATTACATTGTGATATCTTCTGAGAATCATTTTACTTTTATACCTACAAACCTATATACTCAGATTTCTACTAGCTTGCGTTTGATTTTTCGTAAGATAAAATCTCAACAGGCTATATCGTATTTTTGCGCAATAGCATAAGCACCTTGCGTCATAAACGATCGAATTTTATCAATAAAAAATTGTGATTATTTAGGAACCGACTGTCGTCGCATCGATTGATTTTTCATTATCGAAATCCTGAATGGACCGACAGTGTCAACCAAAGGATGACGGAAAGTGAATAATAAAGACGGTAAAAACGATAATTGAAATGAAACGATCGATTAGCCTTATTTTTAAGAGATACTTTTCTTATCGTCGCGCCTGGAAATGGGATTATTGCAACCTTGATTTTTTATTTTTATTTTTTTTATCATTGAAACTGTCACTCGCGATAACGATGCACTCAAGCATCCTATAAATTTATTGCTGCCACAACGTCAATCTATCTGTACCAAAATGGCAATCAAAGTGATCGCTTTACTCTTGGTCCTAGGATACGTGGCTTCGGCCGGTGAGTGATATAGTAAATTATAATTAATTTCGAAAAATGCAAATTTATTTTTAAAAAATTTCTTCAATAATAATACAATTTTAGAACTTGTCCAATTCGGTTACAATATTCCTGAATTGGGACTTGGAAGGGTCGTTGGTGGTAGCGATGCAAGAAAAGGAGAATTTCCGCATCAAGTATCCCTGCAGTGGGGTGTACCGCCCCTTCAAAAGTTGCAACATTTTTGTGGTGGCAGCATAATCAATAGTCAATGGATTCTTACTGCAGCTCATTGCGTAACGGCAGTACCAAGTTACGGGACTCTTGTAGTAAAAGCCGGAAAGCACGTAATTACAAAAACCGAAGATACCGAGCAATCGATCAATGTATCCAAGACTTTTGTGCACAAAAGTTACGGAGGGTAAGTGTAATTAAGCCGTTTTTAATTAGCACATGAAAAACTAATTATTACTTATTTTTAGATCCGTGGGACCGTGGGATATTGGATTACTGAAATTGAGTTCTCCACTTAAATTGAACAAAAATGTAGCCACGATTAATTTACCGTCTCCCGGAAGTATCCCTACTGGCAATTCAACCCTATCGGGTTGGGGTTCAGTTTCCAAAACTTCAACCAGCGTAATGCCATCCACCTTGCAACAACTGGTTTTACCGGTAATCAATGAAGCTAATTGTAAACGAGCTCTAACACTTTTGGGCGCACCCGCACCGCACAGTACTAATGTCTGCACAGGACCCCTTACCGGTGGCTACTCAGCCTGCAGTGTGGGTACCATAACGATTGATTTGAAAAAAGTGAAAAAACAAATCAATTTGTAATTTTTGCAAAAATTTTTCCAGGGTGACTCCGGTGGACCACTCATTAGAAAAAGATCGGATGGAAAGAACGAAATCATTGGTATAGTGTCATGGGGTGTGGTACCATGTGGTTCCGTCGGTGCACCATCAGTCTATACCAGAGTATCAGCCTTTAACAATTGGATCAGTTCGATTGTTGGTAGTAATTAAAACAGACCGTGAATTAAATTGATAATAAAATGCATTAAAAAATAGTTTGATATTTGTTAAACCTCAAATTCAATCAATGCTTATCGACCTCGAAGTTTCTGGAAGAAATGTCTTTCTCAACTTCCGGTAGCACTTCAACCGGATATCAAAGACGTAAAACCAGTCTAATCGAACAAGTAATTCAGAGACAAGGTTTGCAAATGGTTCGTTGGCTCTGTCTAGTTCCTTCGTAAAATATGGAAACTTCCTGTTCCGCATTTCTCATTGCGGTTTCCGTAGGGTCGCAGATGCGTTTTATGAATCAGTCGAAGCTCGTCATTAGTTCAGCGATGTGTAAAAAGATTGTCCTGACACTTTTAATTCTATTTGTCAAAATATGTTCAGGGATCAACGGTAAACATTTTTTTTATGTAAAGAAATATAATATTTTTTAAATTATTTATTAAAATATAAAATTACATCAGAAACTCACGTGACACCGCCGTTAGCGGAAAGACCGACAAGGATAGTTGGCGGGAAGAACGCAGAAAAAGGAAGACATCCGTGGCAAGTTTCTGTGCACTATGGTGATCGTTCACGTGAATTGCCACCAAGGCACGTATGCGGTGGCAGTTTATTGACAGCCGGCTGGGTACTGACAGCAGGCCACTGTAAAACCCTGGCGCCCAAAAGAGCTTCCGGTCAATTTATAATACTAGCGGGAAAATACAAACTCGGCATAATGGAAGACACCGAGCAAAGTAGATTAGTAAGAAGAACATTCGTATATCCAGAATATCCAGGGTGAGTGTAAATAATAGTTATAGAAAAATTAATGAATTGAACCATACATTAATGAAAATTAATTAGGACAGTGGCGCCTCACGACATTGCCTTAATGAAGCTGGAACGTCCATTCGACCTGAATCCATTTGTTTCCACGGTCTCTTTACCCTATCCCGAAATCATTCCTACTGGAGATGCCATGTTGACCGGATGGGGTAGTATAGGCAGAACGAGAGCTCCGGAAAATCCGGAAATCCTCCAGGCGGCCATTTTACCCATTTTAGACTACAATACATGTAAACATGCTCTGGACAAAGCTCTTCGCCAAGATGGTCCCAATCCTCTTCATCCGACAAACATCTGCACGGGACCGTTAGACGGGAGCCTATCGGCATGCAAGGTCTGTTGCTCACCGGCCCTGACCTAGTGAACTGTCTGACTTACTTTATTCTCACCAGGGCGACTCAGGCGGTCCGTTGATTACAATAAACTTATTCGATCAAGCTGAAGTCGTTGGCGTCGTTTCCTGGGGCTTATTTCCATGTGGCGCAAGAAATGCACCCTCCGTGTACACCAGGGTATCAGCATACGTTACCTGGATTCATCGAATTATGTTAAATTATTGATCAGGCGTTTTGAAATGAAAAAAAAAGTAAATAGGATATTCACTGGAAATTGAATGATTACCTTTGATTCAAAGTATTGTACGATTGTAAATGACCTTATCTTCTCAAGTTCATTGACCTCGCGATGACTCCTTCCTGTTCACTCTGAATTCGTCTCAGGCGTTCGTATACGTCGCGTCACGAGGTAGACGGTAAAACCGGTTCTGGCAGAAATGCGAATTAACCAAGTTTTGCCAGGGACCTGATCCGGCGTTAACATCGCAGAAAGATTCTCCTTGCGAATACAGCCATTATAAATTTCTACCGTTACATCCACATGGTATATTGTACGTAGGTTAATTATATACGTGATACGGATAATCATTATACGTGTGATATATTCATGATATATTTTATTTAATAAAATACAATATGAAATAACACGTTACCTGATTACTATTGTTATGCTTATTATCATCATCATTATCATTATTATTATATGTATATATAGGATATTTCGAGGCTCCTGGCCAAGCGGAGATCGGGCTTAAGAATGCTAAAATATTATTTAAGTCTTCCAGTGATTCCCAATCAATGGGCAAAGCAGTACAAATGATTCGTCATTTACTTAATTCTTCTTTAAATCGATTTATATAAAGGACGGGACGACGCTATGCAGTTTTACAGGCCTCGGTGATGACCTTAACAGCTGCCAGAGCTTCTTTGGCTGTTGGTATGATGTAATGAGCTGGCAAGACGAAACCATTTCTACCACGATCACGTAGTTCGATGGTGTAGGTGTACTTGATCTTGGGAATTGCCTTTGCCCAGTCGTCAGAACCCCCCGAAGCTGCGTAAAGGGTGGTAGCACTGTTACCAACGGTGTAAACACTTGCGGCTCCACCTGCAGCTTTCATTGCAGCTGCGGCTTGACGGCCCACGCGTTCCAGGTCGGCGTAATCAGGAGGAACTTTGCGATCATATCCCCACGGATACAGGATATACTGGCCATAGCTATGGAAGGTTAGGTATGCCTGGAATAAAAAAAATTAGAGTAAATGATAAATTTTAATTAAGATCATTATTGGTAATTTTTTTTTAAATTAATTACAAAAATTTTTCAGAGCATCAGACAATCATTATGTCTGTTGAAAATCGTACCTTGAAATTGGCTGCACTGGTCTGGAAGAAATTTTCTATGGCTTTCGTTTCCGGTTCCGAAAATGGTCCAGAACCGCCAAACGTCTCTCGACAAGGCTGTTTACTACTACCTTGACCACCCCAACGATAACCGAAATTTCTATTCAAGTCTGCACCTATGCAGACGCCACCCTTTTCCGGGCTGCTACGGTTTTTACGCCACAGTCTGTCACCCCGGAACGTGTATTCATACCTGAGGATGAATTTTGTTAATAATGTGGAATTAAGCCACTTGGATTTTTATATTTACCCATCTGGATTTACTACTGGTAAGATATAATAATCCGCTTCGATTTCCTCGCTATTTTCGACCAAATGATTTATTATGTACGTCACACTCGCTGGGCTTATCCACTCCCTTGCATGTATACCGCCATCAATCCATAATGCAGGTGCATCCGGTTTTCCATTACTGATTCTCAATACCTTTTTGATTGAACATAGAAAGTCAATTGTTTTCATCAATTTATCAATTATCGATTAATTATCCTGATTGGCAAACCTTAAGTGGTCGTCCCTCCACAGAATTTCCTATACTCATTACCGAGCACAGATCGGGAAAGGTTTGAGCCAAATAATCGAGATAACCATGAATATCCTCCAGTCTGTGATAACTGCTCCATTCCATCCGATGACCTGACAAGGTTATCACAAATTTTTGAACAGGAAATAAAAGAGGAAGAAACATACGGAAATCGCTGAACGAACGTTTGCCGAGTTCAGATAATTTTTTTAGATTTATTTGGATCTAGCTGAAATTTTGGGTAACGAAGGATTCCTGAATTCGTCAAATCATTATGTAATCATGCGCGTATGATGAAGCTCACCCTGAAAATGCCAAGGACCACGTCTACCGGCTAGACCAGTAGTAGCTACAGGGTAACGAAGAAGAGGACGAGGAACTGGATATCTAAGGCCTCTGACTCTGCCGAGTACCTGCCACCAAGCATAACGCGCTAGAAGAAGAAACGTGAAGCTGCGCTGCAGTTGCAGTTGCAGTTGCGTACTGATATAACGTAAACCCATGAGACGCTATTAGACGCGCTCCTTGATATAACTGTTACGTGTTAATCAAATTAATGACTATATTCTCGATCATGCCAGAACTGGGTTACTTGGTGAAATCGTCAACGAGAAGTACGACAACCTCGTCCTCTCTAATTTGCCTAGTCGATTTAATGATTTAGCCAATGACAAAACGCATGCAGCGGAAACGTGCTCTGCGAGGTACGTCAATCACTTTCGAATAATACCCACATCGTAATTGGGTCCGTTTTATTTACATTGGTCACATACGTGATACGATATACAATTACGTGAAAATCATTCAATGATTATAAAATGGATCATGTCAGTGGAACAAGTGAAATTAGTGGCTGTTGCGACAGAAGCTTTATTCTGTATTAATAATTAGAAAATAATAATAGTAGTTGATAAAGCCCCAAGTCAGGATTAGTGAACAATTTTTTTTAAACAAATAAAATTTTGACTTTTCAAACCTTTTCGACCTGCCAGCTCTTCCATCTCCTCGGGCGACGGTATAGGATTTTCCGTATCTATAGCTCGTTGCAAATCAGGTATAACCACGTCGAATTTGACTCTTCTGTCCCTCAGGAAACGGGACACCCGTGGGATAGCGTCAGGATGTACAAGAACGTCCAGGGCCGTGTGATTACCAGACCACATAGAAATCTCTAGATAACGAGGTACCGATACGGATAAAAAAAAAATTTTTTTTTTAAATTTCCAAAAATTTATTACCTCCAGTCTCTTGAAGATATTCAACAAATTCCGTCTGTTCCTCGGTAGCCACAACCCGCCACACTTGGGCCCCCTCGTACGTCACCCTTTCTTCAGGTATCTCGACGGCCCTGACGACTACGGAATCGGTAGGCACTGCTGCCTCCGCTACAGGGACTTCCAAAGTATCATCCTGATCCTGAGCTCTCCTCACGCGTGGATGCACTGCCGATGCATATGGTACGATAATCAACGTGCAAACGAGGAATACAGTGATAACGTAAGGACCATGTCTTATGGGGCCCCATAAAGACCTGGAGGGATTCATCGTCCCGTACTGACTAGAGGCATCGGAGCTGGTTCCACCTTTTATAATATTCAGCGAGGCGATCGAACTCGACTAACGGGACATGACGAACCCAACTTCTTTACTCCTCCAGCTATTTCGCCTATGTACTCGTCCGCACCTTATGAATTTACGGCCTCGAAAACCTATGTGGTTACATGTATAGCATACTAGATCACATGTGGGCTGGACAAAAGCCAAATTTAGAAAAATCCTGTATGGAAATATATATATATTTTTTATTTAACATGGAAACAAAGTTTAAGGTCATGTCATATGTAGGATAATTCATATGCGGGGTAATTCGTATGTGGCGTAATGCATACGTGGGCTAATGCATATATATGGGAAGACACGTATGAGATAATTTTATAAATACGAAGAAGTGGAAACGATGACTGCTTTATTGTGGATGATAATTTTAAAATATATAAAGGAACCCAACGAACCGGCCACGACCGCCCTGTACTTTTCCGGTTGCAGGAGCGACGCACTCGTCGCGACGGCGACGCGGCCGGGGCCGCACTCGAGCGTCGACTTCCGAACGTCCAAGTCATCGGCATCGTCGTTACACAGGACGGCGACTTGATACTGGTTAACGGTCCAGAATTGATACGCGACGCTCTCAGCTAATTGATAAAACAAACAGTGACGAAGAAGAAGGAATCATTCACTCATCAGTCAAGAATCATGAAGCTGCTTCTACTCGTTGCTCTCGTTGGGATTGGAGCCTCGGCCATTGGGGTAAAGTACACGTTATATCGTACGTACGCACGTACACTCACACGTATATATATATATATACATATACACGCATGTAATCACAAATCTACTACAATTACTCTATTGCGATAGAATAATTTAACATTGAATATAATTTTGAAAAAAAATATTCTTTGTCACCCAAAAATCGACTAGCAACTAGAAAAAAGACTTTTTCATATTACACCCCACGATTTGTTTTTCAAACTCTAAGAATTCTTAAGGGAACAAATGAATATTATACATATATATAATTATATATATGTAATTTTTTTGAAAATCACTTTCTCTATTTTTTTTTTTTTCAACAATTTCATTAAAATACTAAGGAGGGTGAATAAATCCCATTGAGAAATGATTATATCAGGCTAACCTAGCGTTTCTCGCTTATATGCGATGTAAGGCTTCGGCTCCAGTGTTGCCGTCACGTATTACTCAGAAGCACACATGCCACTCACATGCGTATATGGGAATACGTAACACACGATCGTCCTCTATATGTCATACATTCTCAACCAGATACACCCACACGCATGTAAAACAAAATGAGAATTAACGATGAACTGCGCTTCGCGATATCATTCGTTATCACATGTTCCACATATGATATATATGTATATATGCATATAGTGAATTTTTTACTTCTTCCTCCCATAAACCTTTTTCCCCTTTATCTCATTCTTCTCCTTCTACACAATCTTCTCCACGTACTCGACGCCTACGCGGTAACAAAACAAAGTGGTGAACGTCTTAAGAGCTCATTGTGGCTATCAACCCGTTTCCCGCGTATGAATATGTACATCGTGCGAAATATATGGAGCAACGATGACGTCATCAGTTAAAAATTATCAAATTTCTTTATTCCTTTTTATATACTCGTACAGATTTCTTTATGGGTTTCATCTTTTTTTTTAGGCTACCAGCTATGAGGTGACCGATCAAGTTTATCTTGATATAATGATCGATGATTATCCGGCTGGTAGGATAATCATTGGTCTATTTGGCAAGATTGCTCCTAAGACCGTCAAGAACTTCGTGACTATAGCCACAACTGGTATTAATGGAAGATCGTATTCCGGTTCGAAATTTCATCGGGTCATTAAGAAATTTATGATTCAAGGTGCGTTTACGAGGTTGATGATGAAATTATATAGAAACGTTATTTTTTATTAATGACTATCCTTCTTCGTATGTAATTTAGGTGGTGATGTTGAGAAGGGCGATGGCAGTGGTTCCATCAGTATTTATGGAAAATATTTTAATGACGAAAATTTCGACGTTAAACATACGGGACCAGGTTTCGTCAGCATGGCCAATGCTGGAAAGAATACAAACGGCTGTCAATTCTTTATCACGACTATAGCGACGCCATGGTTAGACGGACACCATACGATCTTCGGCAAGGTACTATTAAATTAAGAAAAAAAAAAAAAAAAAAAATAGAAATTGGGCGACTTAAAAAAATTTCTTCTCATTCATTTTTTTCTCGTTTCTCAGGTCGTCGAAGGCATGGACGTGGTCTTCAAGATTGAACAAACAGCAACGGACACAGAAGACAAACCCATCAGTCCCGTTGTAATTCTCGAAAGTGGAACAATCCCCGTGACGGCGCCATTTTTCATTTCCGACGATCCATACGAGTAAAGAACGAAGGCCTCCCCGTACAAAAGAAAATTGAAAAATTTAGCCATATATCGAAATCTCGTTAACAAAAAAAATGACAATTCGCTTGTACATAGTAGACATAGTTATTTTTGGAAACACTTTTATCCTTTTGAAAATTCTTCTAGCACCGAAGCGAACCTACGTGTACAGTCCTTTGACAAATAAACGTATTGCATTTAAGTAAAAAATTTGCTATATCCGTACAAGGGACACGCACAAGTCATACAAATCAAAGTCAAGGACTGTACAGTAAGTGTATATGCGTAGCGTATCTATACTCTACTTGTCCTACATATCTCATCCCCCTCATAAAATCAGTTTTCGTTCTAGTAGATGATTAGGTGCACGCAAGTGACTCTCAACCTATCCCTGACTGAATGATCATTCAATGACCATAGCAGTTAGTACGTCAGAACGCAAGAGAGTCACTGATTGATCTGGTACAAGTGCACGCTAGTTATCATTAAAGCTATACCTATATAGTATAGGATCCGGTGTGTTCCACTTGATACCAAATACTCTTTAGTAGCGTAGAAAAGCTCTCGTAGTAAATTACTAAGTTTTATTTCATACAGTCACGCGTCGCTTATTGATTCATTGTCTAGATCATTGTTCTGCTTAATTTCTACGGTTGAATGACGATGTTGACTGTAGTAGTAGCGTAATGTGCAAATTCGATTGACGCGACTCGCGTGGCTGTACGAACGAAAAGACTGACGTAGCTCGCTGATATTTTCAAATTAGATCAATTCACTTTCGCTTTTCATTCATTCGATTGTTTTCGCAATGATAATCATTTATATTATACTCTTTTGGAGATTATACCGTGTAGTTAGTCCTCCCGAAGTATTATCTTTAATCAATATATATATTATTGTTTAATGCAATAAAATCATTTGATATGCATAGAATCGCTTTTTTTTGTTCTTGTCGTTCCTAATGACTTTTTTTTTGTAGTTTGACCCGTAGTCAAATTTCATGATTTGGCCATCCTTGACTCTCTTGTTCTTTGAATTTTCAGTGTTTGGGGATGGATCAGGGCTACGGCTGTACCTTTGGGATTCAGTTTCTCGATACTCGCATTCTTTCATTGGATGATGAGGCAGCTTGACATTTGATGAACATCATCGAGGAGTCATCTTGTTAAATTATGGTTAACCATTCGATATGGTTTTTCGAAAGAATTGTATCGTGCACAGAGATTAATCGAGAGATTAATAAATTAAGCTTTGTTATTGAATTTCACATTTTTAATATCCTAAACAATCTAGATAAACGAAGTGAAAAATGTATCATATTAGTATCATTGCCAAGTATCATTAATTCATTACATTATATTTGATTATGTTTAATTTTATCATTAAACAGTAAAAAATACCAATTACCGACAATGTGATAATTATCACTGTCGGTAAGGCAGATTATTCACCGTCTTTGAGCGCCATCTAGAAACTGTCAGTTTAAAGAGGGCGCTCGAAAGAGTTCAGGCATCGCGACGGTAGGCGTCTGTCGATGCATCAGTAGCTCGTGGACGTCGGTCCGCGCTGGTATTGAGTATAATAATGTGTATATATATGCCTAACTATATTACTATATCGCATTTCTCGCATTGCGTGGCTTCAATAGATTTTCATCCCACGCACAAAATCATCACTAATTTAAACAATCATTTGGTCCGTTCGATATATTTAAAGTGTTAAAGTCAGTGACAGTGTGAATGACGATTATCAGTGATAATCGTGTATTAGTAAACACAGAGTACAAAAGTGCACGAGGCTGTCAAAAATACGAGTCCATTGTGAATGTGAATCTTTTGATTCCCGTGTACAGTGAAAGTGATCCCTCGGGATGAACTGAAAGTTTTCATCGAGGAACCCAGGTGAATCATTTATTCAATAAGGTGGCATTAAAAATTAGCAGCTCGATACCGAACTATCCTACTACAAGCATCTACTGAGTTGACAACTTCCTTTCCCTTTTGTTTTCCTGGATTGTCAGTCAGTATACATTTCTTCGTTCTGAATACACGTTAATTAACTCATATATACAGGGTGCTCCAAAATGAATCATCAGAAATATTTTCTGGCCCTAGGAACAACACTGATTCACTTTCTCACAGATACTCCGGTACCTCATCAATAATAGGGGTAGTTTGTACGACCCCGTAATATATTTTATGGGGGAATACGATTTATGTTCTTCACCATAGAAACCATAAAGTACTATAGTATAAGGGTGACATTTTCAAGATTTATATACGTCCTGAGATAATGACGAATAATTCGGATACAGAAATATAATTGTTGATCCATGGAACTTTATTAATAGAATTAATCCGATAGATTGATTTTAGTATTTGTATTTTGCCTCTTACATATCAGTTCATATCCCTGTTTTTTCCCAAACGATAAGAACTTCAGATACCAGAATACTTCGGCCATAAAACGTCTGTCAGATGATACGACTTTTCGCCGTGCGACGTGTCCGGCATGGTGCCGTGAATACCAAAGGATGCACCGTCTAGCAACCGGTGTGAATGCGAAATCCTATAGTACGGCTTCATGCCGTCCGCTGTCCAATTCAGTTTGTCTTTGTTTTTTTGCATTCGCTGCACTAAACTGTCAAAAAGTGTGATAGCGACTCTATTTGGTGGACGGCAAAAAATCTGCATGCTCGAATATGTCCGTTTATCGCTTTCTACATTTCAAGCTGTCGACGGCGTTGTGCCGTGCAGGATTGAAATGGGCGCTTTAACGACGACACAGCCGTCCACGGCGTAGGTCGTTACATGCGAAGGCACCCGCAACACCTATGGTTATTTCTAAGTACGGCGCCATGCCGGTCTAGGCGCACTGCGAAAAATTATATCGTCTGAAAGAGGTCTGAGCGGCAGTGTCTGGCTATCTCGTAAGCCGTCCAGCCTGAATCATTACTTGAAAGTTTTACTTTTTGTAAATTGACCTTCTCACCGCAAGGAATGATAAGGAAACGACACAAAGACAGGAAATACAAGGAAAATTGACACGTGGGTAGGTGCTACGTGTTTATATATGTAATTCATTAGAATGAAACGGCGAGCGAGTGTGTACTCACCTGCTGAGAAGAAATTCTCAGTACATTCGCGCGCGATGCTAAATTGTTGCGAAATGACGAGAGCAAAACGTTCCAGCATAATAAATTGGACAATAAAATTATTTCTTTAAATTAATAAAACGCAGTATACCATAACGACTATGAAACAATTAGACTTCCTGTAATTGTCTCATATTTTTTTTACACATTTTGAAAACCCATATGTGCCCATATTTTTTTTTCTTCCCAAGGCTGATACTACCATGACCCACAGATCACCCTGCATTCCCTTAATTAACACCGTAAGGTTGCGTGTCACACGCACTTTCCCGCGTAATATGTAATACACGAAAAAAAAAAACCACGTGCTTGACACGGCGTGTAATCACGCCCTTAACAGGAATGGATATGTTAAATAACAAGATTCGATAATAATCTCTTAATGTTATCAATCATATAAACCAATTCTAATAATTTCCATAAACGATGTTATTCTTTTTTTAAATTATTTAACGGTACGAGATTTATTATTATTATTTAATACACCTTTCACTGTCGACGCAACACGAATGAATATCTTATCAAAATGAAAAAATCAGCATTTTAGTTTAATCACATCGAAAGATATTTCAAGCCGTATGATAAATTGATTTACAACGATGACCGCATGATATCAATCATCTCATCTAATCCTGATAACAGTATATTCTCAGAATCAAAACGAAAGCTTATCAATCCCAATATATTTGGCGGAGTCACTAAATACACAGTAACAGTAGGATTGTACGATAGCCTATTCTATTTTGGTTCAAGGGGCTTATTTCTCGTAGGAGCTATCGATCTATCAGAAATAAAAATGACTGACCTCGAATAACTTGATATTAGAATATAAACTTTTATGAGAGAGTGAAAGTGAAGAAAAAAAGAAGAAGAAAGTAATCCACGATAAATTAAAAAATTTCTCTCTATCATCGCACGATAGCCCCTATCTTTTTCCTATTGATAATAAAATGCTGTCGAATGATGACCTATATGTTATACAATCTGATATTGTATTCCTTGTGTCCCGAAAGTCTCTGTTTACGGACGCACCTGCGCTAACGTTAAATTCGGACAATCGATGCGGCCTACTTTCGGCTCAGGCTGTGCCGCAGTAGTGCGGCCCATCCCATACAATCCCATCCCCATGAAACTACGTCCTTCATTCATATCAAGCAGCACGTCACTACGAGCATGCACGTTAAAACTACCGCACCCTTTTGATGCAAGAAGTCGAGCAAAATTTTTAAGAAATTGTAATTTTTATTTATTAAAAATGAAAAAACAGATATACGATTACGTAACGTTTACATGACGGGATATGAATAGCTCGATATACATTGCTCGTGTATCAAAATTTCAATTCATGACGGAGAGCACTTGCGTAATTAGAATACGACATGCTCGCGTGTACGTAACGCGTAAACGCAAAGCGTAACGACCTTCCGGAGTGAGCGGATTTAACGTGATGATAAATAGTTTGCATTATCGGATCTTCATAAATAATGCACCACGCAACTGTTTTTGAAAATCATGTGCGATTCTTGTAAAGTCATTATCAACCTATCACTAATTGTGAGTGTACCTTCCCGGAAGGGTAATTGCACCTGTGCGCGAACCTTCAGGAAAATCCTTTATTTTTACGATTAGTTAATGCCAGTGCGCCGTTAACCAGAAGGGTTAGTCAATTCGGCGAATTCGAAATGTCGATAAAACCAGTTTCTACGGATCGCATACATATATGTAGAATTAACTTGTTCGGAGTATTACGTCACTTCTGAATGATGCATATAGGAAGTCATTAGAGCTCACTCTTTTTTTTTACGCGTGTCATCGATGAAATTCTTTAAAAATTTTACAGGTCGCACAGACTCGGCGATTAGAATGGAATTTTTCTTGTCGCAATCGGACATACCCATTTCTTGAGTAACGAAATATCTAACGAATTTTCTTCTGCTTTGAAAAGTCACTTTGTTCCTTTTTGTCTGCGTGCATTTTGCCGCAGCTCTAAACGTGCTGGGAATCCAGGTTGAAGTTATTCGGTTGCAATGCCGTCTTCGTATTGATTTCTTCCCACGTTGCAGCTGCGGTGCCTTTTCCTGCATGTGCAAAGCAAAATCAAGGACGAGGGGAGCACTTTTATAATGATTTGTTTCTGCTTTCAGGAGTCTCGGTCTAGCAGACCCAAATTATGGGACAGTACTGGCTGAACGTGGCTCTCCTCAGGGTCATTCTTCCAGTGACCTTAGTCGGATGTGAGTCCATGTTTTTTTAACCTAAAAAAAATTTAATGAGCATCCTTTCACTTTTTTTTTTTTCGTCGAATCTTATCGCCATTATTGTGTTTGGGTCTCTTTCTCTCTCTTGCTCTCTCACGAGAAATAATAACGTGGCGGAACGTCTGCAGTTGGATCAGATAGGATTGAGTGACGTCATGGAATTAAAAATAGTTATCGTAATCGCACACTGAGTTACAACGCCTATTGAATTTTTCATATAGAGATTACAATTCAATGCACGAATAAAATAATAGAATTTGCATAATGATATTAACAGCTGGAATGCACATTGAACGTTTAAACGCGATCAAGTGTCAAATCATAAGTAAAAAATAGGGAGAAAAAAAAGTTTAGTTTTCATCGAAATTAAAATAAAATTCACTCATGGAACCTGGATGATTTACTCAAAAGTTTTCGCCTGGCCGCGACAGAACGTAGCTGATATCGCACGAAGCGACTTCTAATATTAGACAAGTGAAGTTACAGACGTCGGTCGACTCTGTATCGCATTTCATGTCTACAAAAATTGTATCCAGTGTTATTCTCGCTGTACATAGAAGATACATAAGTATACCATGTTATATATCTATATCTATAAAACGAACAATTCCATACGGACCTAGGCGTCTGACCTTTTCCTTTTCGGCACTTCTCTTTCAACTTCCACTTCATGCTTTCAGATTGACTCCGCTTCCCCTGACCTTTAGCCTCTGGCGCTTATTGATGTGGGTCGCGTAAACTGACTTTATTTCATGCGATATATCACAGATTGTCTCCTTTTCAAATTTTATAAAGAATGCTCGCCATATGAAATTTTATCGATGTTTTCATTAACTTCTAATCAGACTAAACAATGCTACCACTATCATCTATGCGTATTGTTCATCATAATAATTTGATATGGGGAAGAAATTATTGTCCTTTTCAAGAACAACCCACGTTCCTGAACGTTGAAACGCGATTGGATATGTGAACGACCTGGAGAATGTTACCCACGTGTATATATATATAGATATATAGGTATATAGATACTTAACCTATGGTTGTCTCACATTCGGACTAAACCGGCTGTACATGCTTCCTCAAGCGTGAAGTTCCCGCACGAAATTGTTGGGCCAGCTTAAAATTCCTAACGGGTGTACGTTGAAGTAATGATAGAAATATTTTATTTTACATAGACTGTTTTTGGAATCACGTACTCTCGTAATAACTTTTTTTCCGGGTCTGGGTCATGTCAGCGACCAATCTCTTAAGAGCGGATTTCCTAGTGATAACGCGATGCCTCGAATCCCTTTTAATTTTGCCGTCGAGACGTTACGAAGTAATTAACATTGCGATTCTAAACGGGTTCGTGCTTAGCATTAATTATGTACGCGCATGCAATGTACGCGCCTTGCATTGATGCTACAAGAGAATTTTTATGAAAATTTGTAACGGTTCACAAATTTTTTCTTTTAATTCTGTCTAATTTTCGAGCGAATTTCGGAAAATAGTTTTAGGGACTCATTATCGCGACCCACATTGTATTTTTACGATTTACGAGTCCCTCGACTATTTTTACGTTACCACCCCCCCCTCCCTCCCTCCCCCATACCCACATTCTAGTATATTAGTTTGTTTATTCCGTTAGTTCCAGAAATTCGGAAATTGCCTTTTTTCAAAAACATGTTGGGTCTCTGAATTTTTTTTGTTCTCGTTTATTATGGGTTGTGCGGATGCTCGAAAAAGATACGCGGTACATGGTCTATAAATTATTATAAAATGTTACCAGCTACAAAGTCAATCTCAAATTTGATATTTTAGAGAGTTCTTCTTGGTTACCAAACACTGAGCCCTAAAATTGTAACATACCATCGACGCCATCTTTTTTTTTAAACTCACTCCCTATGCTATTCTTGTACTTTCTCGAGAGGAAGAAGCTGAAAGCAATTAGGTCCAGTCGTGCCATCAGACGGTATACGTAAAAATACCGAATGACGGATCATGTCAACAGATCAATGACGAGGTCAATATTACTAAAAGTGTAAAAATAATTCCTTCAAACAGGCACAATATGGAGACCAACCGGTCTGTCGCTGGTGTACTTGGCATTGGCCCTGTACTCACCAGTAGTACCAATACCAACACACAAAACGATGAACGGACACACTGGTCACTACTTGAAGGCCTGCATCTGTCTGTGCTTCCTGGCCAGCATCACTCAGTTGACCTTTCACATAGTACTACTGGCACTGCCGCCCTACGGCCACATTCTTGAGAACTGTGAGTATCATTAAAATCATAAAAAAAAAAGTGTAGCAATTAAAAATAAAACTTTGACCTCCTCAGGCGAATTTCTGGAAAAGCTCTTCAGGCACATAGGACTCGTGAGACTGGACGGTGCATCAGCGTGGGAGGTATTTTTCTGGCTGTCATCAGAGATCATCGCCCTACCTGCCGTGGTGACGATTTACTGTCTCTGTCGGCGTTTGACAAGACAGCTCATCGGCGACGATGATGAAAGTTCATCGACGCGACGCTCGACGAAGAAGGCTGATGACCGTTCGAGCAAGATCATCAATTTCCTCGGTGGAATTGGGACTTACGTCGTTTTGGCGTCACTTTGCTGCGCCGCGACTTTAAAGCCCTCCGTCGAAGGGTCCATCTACTTCCTGGTGTTCATCAGCGCGTCCACGTGGTGGGCCTGTCATCGAGAGTTGCGCAAGGGGTTCGGAATTCTCTGTAGGATCTTAATGGTCCTGGTCATCGTTCATCTCCTGGTGATACTGACCTATCAAAATCAGTGGCCCCAGGAGTTAATACCCCTTAATAGTACCTGGTCCCGATACTTTGCACTTACCGCAATCTATCAGTCTAATTGCACCGCGCCAAGATACGTTGACTACATCGATGACACCGACTGGACCACGTATGGATATTCTCTGAGGCTCTTCTGGCTGTACTACGTTCTTGCTCTGCAGGCCCAGTACCTTGCTAGAAAACCGGTAAGCACATTTTGCGTTAAGCCCAAACGGAGGACTCTAACAGCGGTACATCTTTCGCGCGCATTAACGGTTACTGACTGTGCTACTTCATCGCGTTTGTAACTAACCACGTGTGGATGCTGACGTAAATATTCAATTCATTGAACTCTAACTGGTAAAGGCTAATTGTCAAACCTTAATCGCTGACTTGATACTTCTAACAACCCTTAAGCGCTTTCGAGGCACTAGGCGCTCAGTCGCGCGTTGCTTTTACTAACTGAGCGTTACAGGCGAAGAAAGTGACGAACTTCAGTGGGAAATTGGAGAACCTGGACACACCCTTGTCAAGGCACGTTTCCATCAGGCGTAGAACACCCTCACAAAAATGGCAGTCGGCAAGGCGAAAGGTTCGCGTAAGAGGATCACGTGTCCTGCATGATATCTTTTGAAACGCACTGTTGATTTATTTAGATTTGTCTCGATTTTTTTGAGGCGCCGATTTTTTGTTGGTTTTTTTTTTTATTTACAGAAACGTGTAGAAGCCAATAGGCCACTTCGTTTTTTGCCTGCGTCGTCCGTTTTTATCGATTTTCTGTTAGTTGATAGGCTTATGCATTTTTACTTGCAGCGTTTGCATCCCTGCACTGTGGATATTATTTTTGGATGCTGCTATGTTTAGTTTGCATTGTTTTAGAAGAGGCCCGTCTCGACGCCGACGCTGGCCGACGAGCGAACACCCGTACGTACTCTATACACACATGAACTCTTGTATTTTATATATGCGTGAACGAGTTTGAGCTTTTCTACGTAGTCTTGATAATCGTCTAAAACATTTTTTTTTCTAACTTCTAAAGAAAAAACGCTTGAATTTTCTTTCTCACAAACTTTTGGATTAACGGTGGCGGGAATACGGATATTTTGCATGAATCACAAAATTTTAGTGTCATGACAAACTCGTATTGTAGATCCTGGTACTTTGATGGATTTAAAAACACACTGGTCAATGGTAAATAAAATTTATGGAGTTATTAATTTATGTATATAAACATTGTCATTTATTATATTACAGCTCATACACTTTGGATCTGGTCGTACTGGATTACTTCAGGACTCTACCGGCAGTGTCATAGTCCAAGATGGTCATCACGACGACAGCATTCAAATGCAATCACTTAGCGAGGGTAAAGATTAAAAATTAAAAAAAAAACATATTAAGGCAAGACATATGTTACTGATGAAAGAATTTTACTATCAGGTGTCCCAGAAGATAAACCAGGAATCATCGAACACGTCATCATGGCTGTTTACTCGATTTTCCAGCTGGTCGTTAATTCATCATATCTGGCTACTAATATTATTATGATGGTATTAAGAAATATTAAATAAAATTCTATTTCTATATTATTCGATTGAGATTTATAATAGGCTGTCGTTGACCTTGTAGACCTGGAGTATCATGTATCACAGCTGGACGACCTTTGCCCTCTTGCTCTGGGCTTTGATCCTCTGGATGGTACCAAACAAAAGGGCATCCATGATGAAGTGTTCGCCGTTTATTGTTCTCTACGCCACTCTTCTACTTTTGGGACAATATGTGTACGTAATGGATCTTACTGAAGAAGAACTACCAACCGTCATTCACGGCGTCAAAATGTCGGAAATTGGATTTGCCAAAACAGAACAATTGAGCCGTTGGCATCTGATTGTCAAGGTTTGTATTTAAAATTCCAAATTTTATGGACGTTGCTAATATTGTTTTTGTGATCTTGTATTTTTTTTTTCATTTTACAGTGTTTATTCATGACCATGTTTTGGGTCACAATGAGACAATACATGGCTGAACGTAAGCAGCAACGACGCTCTTCCGCCTTGCGCGATATGGTTGCGCCGTTGCACGTTTCCGTTTCTACTGCCACTACAGCCATGAATCAAGATATACCGGAAATTAAGAGTCAGTTCATGAAAAGTGTTGGAACAATTGTGAAAAAATTCCTGACTAAATTTTGGATTGTCGTTGTTGCCATTATGTTGTTCACTAGTGGTATCACTGGAGAACGCATGACTGTCTTCAGAATCATTTACATGTCTCTCTTCTTGTTTTTTGTAATCATCTTCCAGGTAATGCAGATATTTTTTGTGGTAATTTATACGAATTTGACATTTACAGAAATAACTGTTTTTTTTTTTTTAGATATCTTGGACCGCCTGGAGAAAAATGATATATGGTTTTTGGATAACTGTCATTGGTTACTCAGTGATTATGCTAATTCTTGTTTATACTTATCAATTTCATAATTTCCCATCTTACTGGGAATATATTTATATCGACAGAGATCTGTATGAATTTTGTACTATTATGATTATATCTTTATTCTGGATTTCAATCATATTTTTTCTGTCTTTTTTTCAGTCAAATGGATATTGGATTAGAAATTTATGAGACAAAAGATCTGTTTGTCCGATTATTGACACCAACTTTCTTTGTTATCATAACGGTCCTGCAGATACATTACTTTCATGAAGATTTCCTCGAGGTTACCAACATTGAAAAATTGGGGTAATTCACATAAACCTAATTAAAACTCATGTATATATTTTCGAGTTGTAATTTTTTGAATTTTATTCTTAGTGCTGTAAGTCTATCCAGGAATGAAAGCCTTGGCCATTCGCCAAGTACGATCCCAATCGCTTCGCCTACAGATGTTGCACTTAATGAACCAGAACCCGAATCTACCATATACACCCTGAAGCAATTAAAACGTGAGTGACATTAATCAAAATTTATTCTTAAAAAGTTTGCTTGATATTCTGGTGTTTTTCAGAAATGTCAAAACTAGAGAGAAAAGCTCTCTTTCAACGTATTTTGAAGCACTTTATAAATTTTTACAATTACATCTGGCTATTTCTTGAAATTCACATGCAAAAGATTATCTTCGTATCTCTGGTGTTACTCTGTATAAATGACGTAAGTCCATAGCATCCTTAAATAAGATAAATGAAAAATCTCCTAATATTATTTTCTGATACATTTTTTTATAGGTTTGCGCAATCAATTTCTTCTTCATCCTTACTGTCGCGATCATGATTAACTTCAAGAGAAACGTACAAATAATGGCGATCAACGCAATGGCTGCTGTTATAGCATCGCTAATGGTAATCAAAATGCTTTATCAAATCGAATATATCGATCATAATAATTGGAACATTAATTGCTCGGTAAGTAATATTATAGAAAAAAATTCTAAAGAAAATTGTCTAATTTGTGAACATAATTTTTTTTCAAATTTTCTAGCGCACTGATGACGGTCAAAGTCAATATGCAAGTAACAACACTGTATACAATGTCGCGGAATGGATTGGTATGAAAAAGGCTGAACATGGAAAATTGCCTGATCTTTTAAAGGGATATATTGGTATAGTAACAGTAACGACATTAAGAGCGATTATCAATGTGCGACAATGGTTCTTCAGGCAAGAAAGGGATCTACCGTTAGAAACGCCCCAAGTCATGTTTCCCCATATAACAAGAGCAGAAGCAGATAAGGGTTTACCGGAATGTCTGAAATTTTTGTTTAATTACGGATTCTATAAATTTGGTTTAGAATTTTGTTTAATTGGAATAGTAGCACTGATCGGTACCAGATTAGATTTTTATTCAGTACTTTATGGAATCTGGTTAATAATTTTGTTCTCGCTGAAGAGAAGAACGGCGTCAAAGGTTTGGCCGTTTTTGAAAATTTTCTCAATATTCCTATTACCGGCACAGTATATTCTTGTGGTGGCACCACCGACCTGGTTCTGTATCGGTAAGTGAACGGACCGGGATGATGTGTTGATAATCTTAATTACCATTGTAATTGTTAATGATTTTTCATTGCAGAATATCCGTGGAGTGATTCTGAAATGCTTAGAAGACTCCAAGAATGGATGTATTTTCCAGATCCAGATTTTCCCCCAAATCCAAAAAAACTTATGTGTAAGTGTATCGGTTTCTTAAAAAATTAATTTTCATTAACGACGTTGACATAATCAATTTGTTTTGTTTACAGGCGATTTTATCTTGCTGCTAATGATAGTGAGACAGAGTCTTGTGTTCGGCATTGAAAGACGCAGTGAAAGCTCAGGGAAGGAATTCATCGCTGGTCATAATTATTCAGTATTTTTGGATATGGATAAACCAAACTTTATTAACCCCGTGAAAGATTTTGTATCTCACATTCATTCCTGGCTGGACATTTTGAAACGTGGATGTATGATGAGTCTAATGTGGATCACGTTATCCATTATGTTCCTTGCCGGTACCAAAAGAACTAATTTATTCTCATTGGGTTATTTAATCGGTGCCTTTGTATTTTTATGGCAAGGTAGTGATTTTTATCTCCGACCAATAAGAACCATATTAAAATGGTGGAACGTATTGATTGGATACAATATCGTTGTGATATTCTCAAAGGCACTGCTTCAAGGTGTCGGCTGTGTTCTTATCAAACAGGTGAAATAATTTTTCATCCAAATATTATATAAAACTAATTATAGAAAAAAAAAATGATATAGTTTTTCTACACAGTTGGAATTCTCAGCATGCTGGCTTATTCAATTGTTAGGCATAGCTTGCCTAAAGAAATTCAAAAGTTCTGCCATTGAACTTGGCATTGATAATACCCAATGCGAAGTACCACGCGAAGACATCGGAATGGTTTGGGATGGATTATGCTTTGGTTTTCTACTAATACAAAAACGTCTCTTCAAAAGCTACTACTTCTTCCACATAGTGGACGAAACCAAAGCGATGAGTATTTTGGCCTCACGAGGTGCAGAGCTCCTGGAGGAGTTGCACCAGAAGCGAATAGAATTTCAAGAGAGCGTCGAGAGGAACGTTTTGCAAAAATTAAAATTCAAGATGGACAAGATCAAAGCAAATCAACAGAAGATTCTTGGTCCAAGTTACAGAGAGCCAGAAACCCACAAGATAGGTAAGGACCCAGCTATTATCAACTTTTGAAAATCAACCCCAAAGAGACCCAGGCGTTCTTCGAAGAGAAGGATGAACAGTCCAAGTCCTCGTACGCATAGGGGATGTTTTAATGATCCCTTATTTTTGATGTACGCACGCAAAAGAAGGGGAGGCACCGCTGGCAAGGTCATCGAGTGTCAGTTCATGCGTGTCATCGGGTCACACCCCGCCTCAGGGATATCAAACGCCCATAGATGATGACGAGGACGAGCCACCGCCACTAACTCCTCGGGCAGCATCCCTATTACAGGCTCCTACCCCAAACTCTGCGATTATGACGGTCAGTCTCGAGGGTTATCTCGAGCCAACCCGAATTTCCTTCGGCTCCCCTCCTAGCAGCGAACTCAATCCCAGGGGACCCTCGCCTGACGAGAGCTTTCCAGTTTTCTCTCCACCACCCTACGATCAGCCACCCCCGGATCAGCCTGTTCAAACGTCCACAAGGCACCGACGTCAATCCAGCTTCATTGGACCACCTTGGATGAATGGATTACAGACTCCACGACAATCAATCATCTCGACGACGTCACGATCCCCGCTTTCTCATCACACATGTAACCTCCATAAGATCCTAGAACAATGCCTGCTCCAGTGTCCTGTACATATGCTTCCACGCAGCACATATAGATAAGATAATCAGCACTAGATATTCCTATCCTTTTACATTATTATCTGGCATATACGTGTGTCAAACGTCATTTTGATATTTCAGAATTCGCCAATGGGGATGATGGAAGAAATCATTGATCCGTGCCCTCTTGTAATATATTTATGTACATTACATCCTTGCGTCTTCCCTTCTTTCATTTTTTTGTCCTATTTTTGGTTCTAGATATTTTCTGTTAATTATTCATCGTCTTTGTATTTTTTACCTTTTTTTTTCGGTAGATACGCTCTTTCCGGGATCACGACCATTGTACAAACATCGTGCGCCAAAAACCAACAGAGAGGGTAATTGAAATATTTTGCTTTTTTTTCCCCGTATTCTTGCTCGCTCATACGACTAACGTCATTAAACACAGTATCATCTTTACAGCAAATACGAGATTGTATATAACTGTATATCTAATACTTATAATAACAATGTCAAGTCACTTGTTGGATTTTAAACTGTATAATATTAATAATCTTTCCTTGTAAAAGAGCAGCTCACGTACTGTTTATAACATTGTATATAAATTGTGTGATATTTGCATGGCTTTTGTCAAATTATATATTTTCCAAATATTTCAATGACCCGGTTTTCTTTTTCTCTCTGTAGCCATAAGATCCGGCGACTACTATATGTTCGATGACCTGGACGATGACGATGTTACCGAATTGCTTCCGGACACGGAGGAAGAAAAGGAAGAATTCGAAGGTCGTCAGCAACCGGAAACACATGGTCGCAGAATGACAATTTCCGAGGTGAGTCCTTCGTAAAGAATAATTTTCAAGAAAAAATTCTAAACCAAAAAAATACATTAAAATAGTCGATTTAAATTTAATATAAAAATCGATGAATCAAGTCTCATGAATCATGAGTATCGTCCAAATTTGACAGAATCTCACAAAACTATTCGCACATATTCCAAAATATCAATGAATATCTTTTAATCCAAAATTTTTCCTACTCGCTTTCAGATTTACTTGACATACGAATATGTTCGTTCTGATAGACGCCCTGTATTACATTCTCTTATGACAACTGACAATATCATTTAAAACAGTTGTGCTGCAGTACTTCCAATTGTTACATACAACAACTGTACTCAGCTCTATATATATATATATATATCTTCTTCAACGAATGAACAACTGTGCAATTGTTTCTCTTTTCTGGTTTTTTGTTTTGCTTTTACCTCTTTCCTTTTATGTTTTATTTAACTTCCCCTTTTGTCGCCACCCCCCCCCCCCAA